AACATATTTTCCCCAGAACATAAAATTGTAGACCTGCTAATCAAGTCTGTTTTGAGATTTTCAAGTCTATTTTTTTCTTTACTTATATTCACAAAGCATGTGATGTAAACCAACCAGGACTGGCATAAACCTACATTCTATCACTTCCTGCTTTAATGACCTTGGGTGAACCCCTGCTAACCACGTTACCCTTTTACCTCCTTTGTAAAACTCAGACAGACTCACAACCCCAACTCTAAAACTCCTGGTGAACGTTATATGAGTTTGTGTGCCTGGAAATGCCACTTGGCATGGAGTAGGCATGTGTTGAATGTTTATTGGCCCTGTTTCTTTGGTTGGCTTTTCTTTTTTAAAACAAACTACCTTTAAAGCCACAGCGTATCAGGAAGCCATTCTTACTGAAAGGCTTGTTCATTAGCAAATATGAGTTTTTACCTAAACGCTCACATTAAAGGATTACATTTTTGTTTTTGCAAACATTAACAATACAATTAACAATTACCTCCTAACATGGGGCAGGAGGCCAGAGCCAGACACTTCCCATTCAGTGCACACCAGCACACTCCAGGGACTAATTGGTAGATTTTATATCTACATATAAAGTCAGAGACTGGATGAAAGTCAAGCATTTTTTTTTAATTTTAGGCATCCAGCAGGTAACCCACAATGCACTTGGCATCAAGACCACTATGTGGGCTTGGTCCACTCTCTACTAAAAACTGCAAACTGCACGTGGCCTTTTCCTCTGTTTGCCTATGAAGCAATGCTAATAGGGTTCTTATAGCCCAAAGCTATTGTGGTGTTCTTGCTTACAAATGAACAAGTGCTGATCTAAGAATGAGTGATCTAAGAATGAGCCACCTCCCTGTTCCTAGGTGGGGACTTGTGAAAGAAGCCAAGTGATCATTTGTCACAGGTCACTTGTGTTTTGCTGGTTACAGGCTTTGGTGGGCACTGTAGTGCTAAGTGATGGAGGAGCAGTTGTTGGGTGGTTGATAAAATTATGTGGCAGAAAATGTCAAGATGGTTTTGTGTCTTCAGGCCTCGCTTCATAGAGGATGTGACTTCCTATCTTGAGTCTCATTTCCTGAGAAGACTGTGCAGTAGAGGGTTGGTCAACTGCATACAGAAAAAGCAAACTCGTAGGAGAGTGGGAAAGCAAGGCTGGCTAGGGTGTGACAGCACAGTGAGGTGGTGGTGTGTTCACAGCAGAGGCGTTACCATCTAATTCCGCTTCTGGCGCAGTGATCAAGTTTGCCGACAACAAGGAACTTAGGGAAGAGAAGGTTTGTTTAACTTACAATTCTAGTTACATGCCATCGCAGTGGGGAGTTACGGTGGAAGGATCTCAAAGCAGTTCACATTGTATGTCAAGGACAGAGAGAGATAATGCACGTAGGCCTGCCTGATGGCTTGTTTGCCTGCCTGCCTGCCTGCCTGCCTTCTCTCATATAGTTCAGGACACCCTTCCCAGGGAATGGTGCTGTGTTTTCCCACATTCGTTGACAATCCAAAGAATCCTCCACCAGATAACGTGATCTAAACAATTCCTCAAATGTGAGTGTCCTACCAGGTAATTCTAAGTTGGGTCAAACTGACAACTAAAGCTAACAATAACTCAGTCTTATGAGGAAGGAAGGGTATAAAGCTGAGGACCTTCCAGGGGATCCTGCGTTAGGGACAAATACCATGCCTGTGTGTCCCTACACTAACCAGTCACTAGATGAGAGCTGTCCTTGGTCTGTGAAGGAACTGCAAGATGCAAGTCCTTTAAAGGGACTTAGTTGTGGGTTGTCATGAGCCAGAGGCTCTGAGCATTTCTAGAACTTCAGGGCCAAGCATGTAGCTCAGAGGTACAAATACTTGCCTAGCTCACTGACAATCTGGCTTCTTTTACCTGTAGAACTATCACTCTACTGTCTAACTCCATCTTTGTGTGACATTCTCCCTGTATCTGCATCAGAAATGAGAGGAACTGAACCATCGTGACAAGATCAAAGGAAATTTGGAACTTTGGGACCCGTTTGTGACAAAGAAGCACCAGGGCCCTTGATGGAGTCCTCTAATCCTAGGGCAGTCTGCTGCTGTCAGGTTTCTGGAGTGTCTGAATACTCCCCACAAAGCTCTGACAATGAGGTCAAGTTTCCCCCATTGCCACTCATGTCCACTTGGCCCTCAGTTTTGTTTCTTATAACCTCCAAGGGACCTAACTCGGGCCGCAGAGGTGCCCACCTTTGCGGTGAAAATGGGTTGACTGACGCCGTGTGGAGGCTGAAGGGAGTGGGAAGGGCAAATGGTGGAAAACGCTTCAGAGTTCAAGCGAGATAAGGATTTCAGAAGTAACAAAGATTTGCCAGCCAGGATGTGGGTGCTGGGTGGTGGAGCCAGAGCCAGGTGGCAGGGATGCAGGTATGTGTAGGGGGAAACTTAGGACTCTGCCATTAGCCATGTGGCGTATTAGAGACGCATACAGATGAGGTAAGAAAAGGGCGGTTTACCGCACTGCTAACCACACCCACTTTAGGCATGACTAAAGACATATACAGACATAGGCGGTGAACTACATCACTAGCCAGGCCCACTTTTGGGCATGTCTAGGGGCGTATACGGAGGAAGGAATAAAAGACTGAGCAGCAGAACCTCTCGCCCATTGGTGGCAGAAAAGTACTCGGCTCATCTGGGTTGCTTGTTTTTCTCTTGTGAGTATTTTCTACAATAAACAGTTACCTATACTCTCAATAAGTGTGCCGTTTATCATTGCAGCACCAGGTATGACGTTAAGTTGAAGCCAGAAAGGCAAAATACAAATGACACCTTCAAGGGGTTCAAATATACAGAAGAAAGGGAAGCAGGGGCTCTGAGGGAAAAGGACCCTGTGTTTTAAGAAGGGAGAGAATGAATATGTTTAAATATGATGGGAATAAGCTATGAATGGCGGGAAGGATGAGAACATTTGAAATAGACCCAATCAGCGGGTGGGAAGGGCTTGCAGAGGATGTGAGTGCCCTGGCAGGCAGTGGAACTAAGCTATACCAGGAAGAAGGAAGTGCGGAGGTGCAAAGTGGCACTAGCATGTGGCAGCCAGGGTGTTTCCAGTAATGGCTTCTATTTTCTGAGTGAAATCAGAGGGTATTATACCCCGAGAATGAAGAAGGAAGAGATGGGATAAAGGCAATGAGGAAGCGAATATTTTCAATAGTTGTTTCAGAAAATGGTAGTGAGATCCAAGCAGGAAAACAGTGTAGGATGACCAGTTGGCACGGAGGGCTCTGCAGAGACTGATGGCTGCGGATTTGGGATGCCACTTAACTGCGATTTTATGTGATTTTCTCCAGCCTCGTTCAGTGGGGCAGACAAATCAGCAGAAACACTGGTACCCGGAACTATCTGAAAGTTCAGGACGGAAGAGCGAGGCAATACATCAAGGGTGTTAGAAAGGGAATGACTGGAGAAATGAGCCATGAGATCTAGGCTGGCTCCAGACTAGGGGGGGGGGGGCGGGGAGGGGGAGCAAGGAGGGAGAAACGAGCGGAGAAACTCAGATGTGAAGAGCAGCTGTGTGGGCATACGGAGTAAAGGGCTGGGGGAGGGCATGGTACAGATTTTAATGTTCCCATCAGTGCGGGCTGTGTGGATATGGATTCTCCAATATCTGGCCTTCCACTGGCGTTCCGGTCAACCTACCAGGGGCCACACACCAAGAAAACCCGACTCTCCCTCTCTCAAAGGTTAACAGTCATCAACAGCTCCTTAGTGCGGGGTGAGACATCAGAGACATCATGCACGCTCCACTCCCCTGTCCATGCGGGGACTTTGTCTGGCTTGGGCTTGCGCAGGTTTTTGTGCGTGCTGTCTCGTCTTCTGTGAATTGGTATGTGCAATTGTCCTGGTATATCTGGAAAACACTGTTTCCTGGTAGCTGTCCACTGCTTGCAGCTCTGAGGCTCTGCCCACGGTGATTCCCGAGCCTTGGGAGAAAGGGGTGTGAAACCGCTGCACCATTAAAGCCCAAGCACTCCACAGTCTCGCATTCTCTGCACTTGAACCAGTGTGGGGTCTCTTTCTTAACCTCCACCTACTGCAAGAAGGCGCTTCCCTGACAAGGGTGGAGAGATGCACTAATCTATAACGATGGGTCACGCTCATTTTTCAGAACAACAGCAGTAGCTCAGGCCATATTCCCTGACACCAGTGCTACAATCAGTTTCCGTCTTGCACAGTGCCCCTTAAATCCAATCAGAAAGTGCTTGGTTACTCCCCTGGCATCCGTGTCACTATTGCAGGGGTAAGCATGCCTTGTCAGGCTGGTCATTATTGTAGCTCACAGACTTCACAGTTGGATGAGATTACTGTTGTCCTCTGCTAGTGTGCGTGGCATCTTCCAGCACTATGAAAGCTATCCAGGGGGGATGAAGGGTCAAGTTGAGTACCACCATGATTCCTTCATGTCCTATGACTCAATAGGATCTTACCATCAAGTTCTGGGGAGTAACTCCTTAAGAGGTAACCCATTCCTAACACTAGGCTTTTTATTTGCCAGTCTCTGGTGTCTAGTAGGAACATTGTTGCCCCATTATAAGGTAACTCCATTTAAACACTACTATACAAACTGGAAGAAGCCTTCCAGGCTGAAGGTTAGTCACCATAAAATGCTACCCCAATAAAACTTAGATGCTTCTTCTGTGTGCTGTTGTCATAGCAACAGCATCACAGATGTCCTCAACAGCCCTTCAGCCCATCATCACCTGGTCTGGATCACTGGCTACTCTTCCGCAGAGGACTAGAAGAATAGACTTGAGATGTAGATGGATCCAAGCTAACAGTTGGTTTTAGTGTGTGTGTCTGTGTGTGTGTCTGTGTGTGAGAGAGAGAGAGAGAGATTTTCTGAAAATATTTAGATGTCTCAGTGACCAGAACAATAACCTCAATAGCAATTCCCCGAGAGTGTATTTATTTGTTAGATGAGTTCGTATTAAATATTTGAAGACCTTATCTAAAAATCACATTAATCTCATGCATTTTATTGGACAATATAAAATATACATGGATATTACAGAAAAACCAAACAACACAGAAATGTGAAGTGAGCCTGCCAACTCTGGAATGCATGGACAAAGGGAAGGCAAGGAACAACAGACATTTTAACATGAAGGAAATGGCTTTTCTAACACGCATTCAGTTTGTCCAAATAACAAACAGTTACTGTGTACACGAACTATCTGCAGGCACAGAATTTATTTATGCTTATCCCACATATTCTTACCACTGAAATATCTCTAGGGTATATATTCAAACATACTGAATAATTAATATATATCAAGAATTGTTATTTACACACTTGTGCCATACATTTGGATAAACAAAATGTTATTTCACAGGATAAAGGTTATAACCAATATGGGTTATTTTTAAGTCTCTTATATGACCCCTGACATGTAACTCATGAAAAATTAAAGGGGAAATAACAACATATTTAACACTTTAGACAGACCAAAGTCTGGCATGAGGAGGTAACTGCTTGAGTGAAAGCCAACCTAATATGGTTAGTTGTTTTTGTTTGGGCTTGCAGGAGGATTGCCTAGTTGGATTGTCAGTCAGATGGTTGTTTGTTAGCTTGGTTTGAGAAAGGGTTTCACTCTGTAGTCCAGGCTGGCCTGAAACTCACTATGAGGCCCAGAGTAGATTCAAACGTATATCAATATTCTCGGTTACTCAAATGAGTCACTACCTGCCACTTCCAGACTTCTCCCGATTGTAGGGTTGCTTTCCTTCCTGAATGCTAACAATTCCTCTCAGGCTCAAAACTGAGCGGAATCTGAGATGCAGAGCATAAGAGGCACAGCCTCTGCTGTGCATGTCCTGCCTTCCACACTAACCATATAGAACCCTAAGTTAGGACAATTGTCTCTGGGCCCTGGAAAACATGTAAGATATTAAGAGTCTACCATGTTACCCTGATCTCATGACCACACACTGTATGCATGGATTGGAGTGTCATCCAGAAACCTATAAACAGGTATAATTATTATGTGTCAAACTGTATGTACTTAGGATAGATAGATGTTTATGGGGTTGGAGAGATGGCTCAGATGCTAATGGCACTTGCTACTCTTGCAGAGGACCTGAGTTCAGGTCCCAGCACCCACATCAAGTGCTTTACAACTGCCTGGGATCCAGTATCAGGGGATCTGACTCCCTCTTATGGTCTCTGCTGGCACCTGCATGCACACACACACACACACACACAGAGGCACACACATGCACACACCTATAAGTAAAATAATTTTAAGTAATATTTTTGGAAGACCTGCACACCGTTATCTTAAGATGTGAAGCCATCAGTAATGCTCCAAGTCAGAAGGTCTGTAGTTCTAAACTCTGTGCTCATACAGCCCAATCTAGGCATGAACCCAGGGGATTCCTGTGGGTCCCAATGCACGAGTTATTGAAGTAATGGATGGTTTTAGGGCTGAATATTGACCTAGGACAGGCACTTTTTAACATTTATTTATTTTGTGTAAGTGTGTGAGCGGGTGTGTGTGTGTATGTGTGTGTGTGTGTGTAAACTTGTATAACAGATTGCGTATGGGGCAGAGGAAAACTTGCAGGAGTCAACTGTCTCTTTCTACCATGTGGGTCCCTAGGACTGAACTCATGCTGTCAGGCTTGGTAGCCAGTGCCTTTACCTGCTGGGCCTTAGCAATGGCACCTTTGGAGACCCTTTTCCCCATGATATGTTCTCATTATATCATCAAGGTAGATAATTGTCACACGCCGGCCGAATTTCAAAACTACGAGAAATTTTTGAACTGCACAACTTGAGAATTGCACCCCGTCCAGGAGGCAAGTGATCAGTGTTGAAGTTCTAAGTGGCACTGCGGGCAACTGCCATGCTCGGCAGCCGTGTCTTTGAGGCACTCACAGGCAACAAAGTGATGGTGGTGTGAATGGACCAGACTCTCCAGACATTTGATGATCTCATAGTCAGGAAGTGCCAGAGAGGTCAGGTTTAAGCCCAGCATCTGGGAAATCACCTCCCTGAAGTCCACCAGCTGCAAATATTAAGCAGAGATACATTAGCTGGGAAAGAAGAACACACCACCACTGCCAGGTCAAACGCAACAACAAAAGAGGAAAACACAGATTTGCATGAGGTAGGCAAAATTACCCACTCTAGCCTCAATTATGAATAAGTAGGCTTGCCTGCTAAATAACTTCTGAAATTCCCCCAGGTTTCCCAGGCTTCCCCAATCTCATAATCTCTTGTGAGTCAAGTGGCCATGTGTGTATTTGCTGCTGAGTCAAGAACCCCAGGATACTATCATCCCTGAGACTCTGACCTCCCCCTAAGTCTGTTCTGACATCCTGGACAAGAGAAATTATGACTGAGTATGTGCTCTGGGACCCCAAAAGTGCTATATAAATGTTGATATGAGCCTATCCATGAATGATAAACACGGCTGCATTGGGATGTTAACTGGGCAATGCATTTCTGACACTCAAAGAGAAAGAATGAGCTGATGAACACAGGACTTCTCAGTCCTTCTCAAACTACCTTACAAAGACTGCTGCCTCGATATGTGGTTCCAACACTGGGCTCATCTGAGATGGCTAGGTGTCCATGGAGAAAGGGCAAAGTAGAAGCCAGAGGGACTAGTCAGAATAGGCATCACCTCCCTTCATGCTCTTCTCGGGTGCTTTCTGTGGTCCTAGGCTAACACGGGCAAAACAGGGATATGATCCAGACAAGCCCTCGCTAAATCCCTTCCATTTCAGAAGAACACCATCCAAACATTTATCCCCACTTCCTCCCTGAGGATGGCCCAGCATGAGAGACGAAGGCTTCTCTTAGTTACACATCCATCCCACCCCCAAAGTGTAAGTTGAAACATAATCCTCAGTGGGATGGTACTGGAAAGAGGGGCCTTGTGAGTTAATTAGGATAAGATCACCACGGTAGAGTCTCCAAGACAGAACAGGCACCCTTATCAATGAAGCCCCAAAGAAGTTTTACCATCCAGAGTTCGTGAAGACGTCATTTAAAAGCCTGACACCCAGTCTACTGATGCCTTGACCTTGACTCTCCAGACTTTGACCTAAGAGAAATAACCACTCTGTGTATGAGCTACTCCCCTTCCCAAGCTTTGTCAAATCACCTAAACAGAACAAGGCACCAGTGTTGCCTCTCCAATGCAAGGGTTTCCTCTAGAACTTTCCCACCCTTTTTAATGTGGCCAAAACTCACAATTCCTGAGATGTTTTCTTCCTGAGAACACTTGCTCTTAGAGTTTGGCTCTTCCCAGCTCTGCCTGACACATGAGTCAAAGCAGAGTAGGGGAAAAAAAATCCTAAGGGCAGAGTCCATTCTCTGCCCTTTTCAGCTTCAGAAAGTGACATGCTAGTCAAAGGCAGTAGGGGTCACACTGCCCGGGACAGAGTTCTTTATGTCTGACCTGATGTGCTCGGGAGATAAAATGCTCCTCCTTGCAGCCAGCCAGCCAATGTGTACTTTTTTATGGCCTACGTCTGCGCTTGGTCAACCATGAAGTCTGGGTGCCACTGTTTGGTATTGGAGGCTGTTTCCTGCAACTGATCTCTGCGGGAGATAAAGCTCCTCTGTGAGTTCCTAGCCCTGCTTAACATTAAACGATGCGAGATGAGGCAAGCGCCAGAGGCAATTATAAAACTCAATTCAAAACATCTCGTCACCACCAGAAGCCGGCTTCACACTGGCTTTCTGTGGCTTTGATAAGTACATCAATTTCTTTCTCTTTCTTCTAGTCTATGTCATGCAAGCATGAATTGCTTTTCTTGGCCAAGAAACTCATAATGATTATTGGCATGCCAAAAAAGATGCTGGCAAGTGGGCGGATCTGTTGAAATGATACAGAAATCTTTACGAATAGTGTTGGGGAAAATGTATGAATAATGCTCTCCTTGGCAGCAATATACTAAAATTAGACCGGCATAGGGGGGCTGAGTGTGGCCTTGCACAGGATGGCACGCCTGTTCTCAAAGGTGTCCATATTGCTACGTGTGTGACTTCTCATGGAGGCTTTTAAACCATCCTGCCATGCCCTGAAAAAGGATTACCCCAGCAGATCTTTATCTACCTGCTGTTCTCTCCTCTCAGATTCTTCCAGATACTTCTTCAGGGTCGTCAGCTCACTGGCGGCCAACTCTATCATGGCTCTGGTCCTTCCCTGGTCTGCTTTAGCCTCTTCCTCTGTAGTTTCCAGCTCGGACTTGAGCAACACGATCTTCTTCTCTGCTTTCTCCTTCAGTTTCTCCAGGTTGTCTCGGGATTTAGTTAAGTCTTCGATGGCTTTGGCCTGCTCCAAAGTTTTAATCTAAGGAGTCAAGAGAATGAGGATCATTTCCCTTGTTCGTCTTTAGGAGATCCTGTATACCAAAACAACTAGGAAGTCAATGGAACTCACTTAACTATTTTACAAAGAAAGAATGGACTTCATTCCAAGCAGCTACAGAGACCCTGCAGAAGAGCAGAAGCTGGGCATACATGACCTCAGTTACTGCAGCTTATAAATGACAGCGCACCCTTTTGGGGGAACTTAACGCAATAAAATTGCAGACAGCATGGTTCTAGAGTGAGGTGACTAAAATAAAGCCTTGAGCAAGTCAGACTGTCTGTGCTAACCAGTAGGCCCTGTGCCTTGCAGCAAAGTCACCTAGCAATGACAGAATGCCCACTCTTCTAACAGCGTCACGGGGGATGGGGGGGCGGTCAACAAGTTTCCCTCATTGCTGTGAGGGAAATCCCCCTCAGCAGTTATTCAGCGGAGTCTCTGGAAAGCACTTATGAACATGAGGCAAAAGATGTCACCAAATCCTGTGCAGACAAAGGGCAGAGATAGTCCCCAACTTGAGACTCACCCCAGGGCCTTGAAACCCTAACAGAGGCTCCTGGGATGGGGGATGTCTTCATTGTGAATTTGTGAGATCCCACCACAGCTCCTTACAGAAGAATTCAAGTAAGTGAGTAGTGGACCAAGAACAGCTCCAGGGACAGACCCAACGGGGACAGTGAAGGAATGAAGACAGACAGACAGACAGACAGACAGACAGACAGACAGGAGGAAAAGCTGACATCAGGTGGCCCATGTTCTCTGCTGGCGACACCTCATCATCCCAGAAGCTCAACATTCTTCTTATAAATTGAAGAGAGGAGTAGGGCTATTACAATGATGGACTGTATTCTGGAATCCTTTACAGGTCCCTGCTCCTTTTGAATGTTCCCTTCCTCCTTCTATTTATTCATATTTAAGAAAAACTTATTACAAAATTGTCTTGTTCTTTTATTTTCCAATAGTATATTTATTACAAATATTTTTCATTTATTATATTTTATTTTCCCTTATATTATTTTACTTTATTACATTTTATGTTGTATAGCATATATTCTTTATTGCTATAATAAATATTTTGTAATTTGGAAAAAACCCTTTATGCTTAAAACTGTTTTTAGTTTGGGTTATTTTATCACAGTAACAGATATACTTTTAATTCCAGTATTTGAAAAGTGGAGGCAGTAAAATCAGATTTGTCCACCTAGTGAGTTCAGGTCAATCTATAGGACAAAAGAGCTTACCTGAAAAAAAATCCAAATAAATAAGCACAAATAAGCTACAAGGCAATGTCTACTAAAGTGGTTAAAATTACAAAGACAATTACAAAAGTTAGCAGGGACTTAGGGGAGTTAGAACATTCCCAGACTTCTGGGTGGAATATAAAATTACCATCTAGGAAAGATGGAAGGCAGTTTTGAAAATGCCTAATATATGATCCACCAACTCCATCACTAGCTATAAGCCAGAGAGAGGCAAAACCACACATTGAGATGTGTTATAGAGCAATAAACAAGAATGGGGTGCTATGACATAACGCAGGTGAACCCTAAAAACTTCTCAACATGAGAATGAAGCCAGTGTCCAAAATCACATGATTATCTTCTTAAGAAAGAGACACAGAAGGTCTGGGAGTAGTGGAAAGAATGGGGAGTTACAACTTATGGGTGCAGAGTTTCCTGGGATATGCTAAAATACTCTGAAAGTAAATAGCTCCTGGATAAGTTTGTAAACACTCTTTTAGAAAACACAGAAGTGCATATTCTGAGGTGGTAGCACTCCTCTAGAAGGTTCTAGAAGACCTTAAGTGACATAGGACATTGGTAACTGGAGGGTGTGCTTTCAAAGTTCTACCACTTACTCAGTCCCCTCCCTCCTTCCAGTCTGCTTCATATCCACCGAAGGTGGGAGAAATCCCTCCTCTACAAGCTCCCAACACCACAATGCCCTACAGACATACACAGAACTAAGAAACTATGAGCTAAACCTCTGAAATCGTGAGCCAAAATACTTCTCCCTGTCCTCAAGGTGTTTGCATCAGGCATTCTCTTTCAGAGAAGAGAAATCTGACACACAGGGTCAAGAGGTAACTGCAGGGAAGAGCCCATTTGAGCTGCAGATCAGAATGGTGGCAGAAAGAGCAGAGAGACAATAATAAATGAGGAAGGAAGCTAGCATCTTCACCTGGTGCTGATGGGTGTCATGGGGTAACCTGATCTAAGGTTCTGTATCTCACTAGAAAACAAGAAGGTTAGATAGAAACTATTCTAAGACATGCTTTGAGATACTCTTGAATGTCTAGCAGGACAAACAGACATACCCTATGGTGTTAATCTAAATCAAGGAGGTCCACACCAAAGGCTGATAAACTCGTGAACTAAAAACTAGTGTCACAATTTCCTAAAAAGCCAAATTGATTTTTGCTATGATTTGAATCCTTGCGCCCTCTAAAATCCTAAACCTTAACCCCCAAGGGCATACTGTGAAGGTATAGGGCCGTTAAGAAGTGATAAAGTGCATTTCAAGGGGAATAAATACCTGTGTAGTTTGAATAAGAATGACCCCCATAGACTCATATGTTTGAATACTTTGTCACCAGGGAATGGAACTCTTTGGTAGGATTGGAAGGATTAGGAGATGTGGCCTTGTGGGAGAAAGTGTGCCAAAAGCCCAAGTCAACACCAGGTTCTCAATATCTCTCCCTCTCCCTCTGCCTCTCCCTCTGCCTCTCCCTCTCCTTCTCCCCCTCCCTCTCCCTCTCCTTCTCTACCTGAAGATCAGGATGGAAAGGTCTCAGAAACTGCTCTAAAACCTGTCTGCTTGCCACCATGCTCCCCACCATGATGATAATGGATTAAGTCTCTGGAGCTGTAAACAAGCCCCAGCTAAATGCTTCCTTTTGTAAGTTACCCTGATCATGCGTCCTCACACAGTACAGCAGGGACTACGATGCCCTATAACAAACAGAAACAAGGCATTGTAACACTGATAAAACAGGTCGAGCTTTCTTGTCCTTACACCAGATGAGGACGTAGCTAAGGGGAGTCTTAAATGAACCAAGAAACAAGATAAAGCAGACATTAAATCCCCACCTCGCCCTTGGGCCTCCCAGCCTCTAGAAATCTGAGAGCTACATTTCTGCTGTTTATAAGCCATCCAGCTTGTAGTACATTGTTACGACACTTGAGGACTAGTACTTTTCTAAACACAAAGAGGCCAATGGCAGTCATGCTTGACTTCATAGTCACTCAACAGGCTCTATGGATGACATGAATTCTCTTGGGATTCTGACAACTACAATGGACATTTCTGAACTCATTGTCAAAATTTGCACTCAGACCACAGAAGGGCTTTCCTGTCTCTTTGCCCCTCACCAGAGAAGGCTTTACCTCTCCCAGGTGCTTCGGTATTAGGGTCCTTGAGATGGGTGTGTCCATGTCAACCACACACACAGTCACTGAGGACATCACTACTCCTTACACAGAGGAATGCTTGGATTATAAGGAAGGGAGCACAAGTCCAGCCACCAGGACAGAGCTGGGAGCCAGCAAGAATGACAGGAGCCAGCAAGAATGACGGAGACTTTAAAATCAAACTGACAGCAGATTCCTGGGAGTACGGTGGGCCTAAATTGGTTTCTTAATCCCCCTGAGGGAACTTCCCAGAGAAGCCCAGAGTTCAGCAAGCAACTGGCCTCTAATTTTCCTCTAGTAGGACAGAACTGGTCATAAAAAAGATTGATATGTCATTGGGAGTCCAGCTAGGACGGGGAAGGTTCCCAGGGTGCCACTTGTGATAAACACTGTGTGCTGTCTGCTTCCCAGGAAAGAACTGTGTGATCTGGTGGGTAATTCTCTCTTCTACCTAAGTATCAAAGGCCCAGACAGGAAAGGGATTACATCTGAACTCTTACGTGTTGGCTGACCCTGGGGTCTAATTCCCCAGCTGCAGTTGTTAAAGACAACATCTAAAAGTCTCATCGTGCATGAGTCTCTACATGAAGTGGGGCTGCAATGTTCTAATGCAGAGGTTCTCAACCTTCCTAATGCTGTGGCTCTTCAATACAGTTCCCCGAGTTGTGGTGACCCGCAACCATAAAGTTACTATCATTGCTACTTCATAACTAATTTTGTACTGCTATGAATCATAGTGCAAATATCTGTGCTTTCCTATGGTCTTAGCATTTGACCCCTTTGGGGTCATGACCCACAGGTTGAGAAAGACTATTCTAGAGTGTACTGATGGCCAAAACAGATGCTGTGTCCACAAAGATACAGCTCTGTAGGGAGACATTCAACTGTGTCCCTAGCAACCCACACTCAGGGAACCGGCAGCACGGTTACCCTCACCCCTCCCCCCCCAAAAAAAAAACCAGTCTGCCTTTTCAGGCCCTATTCACTGCGCACAATGAGAAGAGCAATCCAGGAAGATCTGGGGCACAGCAGAACAGAGCCGACTCTAGGAAAAATGGCTAAGGGCTACACTGGCTGGGTGGAACCATATCCCTAGGGAAGGAATGCGGGCAGCAGTGTAGGGAGAGATCTAAGTACCCATAGCGCTGACCACGCCCATTTGGGTGTGGTCACAGGTATGTAGACTGGGGGGCGGGGTAAAAGAGCTAGGGGGAGGAGACTCGCTCCCTTTTTGGGTTCCGGTTGCATTCTGGTTGTGTCCCAGAGAGCAGCAGCGTGCGAACCTTTGGCTGTGTGGCTTTCTTGACTTCTCATGTAAGTGACTTCCCCCTCAATAAAACATCCCTACTTTGTGTAGTTTAATACTTCTATGACAGAGCAGCTTCCATATGGAGGATATATGGAGAAAATCAGAGAGAGAAGAAAGCTCTGCCTATGGCTGAAGGCTGCTGTCTGCTCTGGTCCTCTCTGGGAGACCACGAAGGAGACACTAATGGCTCTCTCCTGGGTTTCAGAGCTGATTCTGGACCACAGCTTCTACAAGGGTTAGGTCACATGCTACAGGCTGACAGCTGTGCCTCCATCAGACAGCTAGTCCTCCATTCTTTCTCACTGGCCAGAATTAAGACCTATTCTTTGGGCTGACCACATTTAAATAAAGTCAAGAGACTAGTTCTGGTCAATGAAGACACAGAGCTGTTACATCATTCCCAGAAAATAGTCGTTCAGGTTTCCTCCTGGCTGGTGCCTGGGAGGAGGCCAGAGCCCCAGCAGCTACAGGGGACTGGAGATGAAAGAGAATGAAGGCATTGGCTAGGATGCTCAATTTGAAATCAGAATAAACCAGGCTTCTGGAGACCATTGAGAGGACCTTCTAAATGTGGTGTGTGTGGGGAAAAGTCTCCAAAGGCGCAGCACCATGAGCAGAGCCAAAGAAACACACTTTAGTCCTGCAACCAGACCAACAAAATGTACCCTGCACCTGAAACCAGTACCAAAGAAACACACTTTGTCCCTGGAAGCAGAGCCAGTGAAAGAAATGCACCCTGGCCCTAAAACTAGAGCCAAAAGGCTAGAAAGAAACACAGTTTGGCCCTGAAATCAGAGCCAAATCTGACTCTAAACCTATGCAGAAAACTAACCAATCCCTGAGCAGATCTAGCCATCCGAAGCTCAGGGATTGAAGTCTGATGAATCCCCACCCTTGAAAACTCTACCTCCTAAGAATCCCTATATAAACCCTGTGTCTGTTCAGCGTGTGGCTGTTCGGGCTGCCACAGTGTCCTCTGCCACCCTGGCAGAGGGCAGTCACTCTCCTGGATTCTTCCCTCCCAATAAATCTCTTGAAGGAGGTTTGGGTGAAGACCTTCTTTCAAGGAGCAGATACGACCCTGGGTGGAGCAGAGCAGAGCAGGGCTGTAACACTTTTCGCTGGGGAAACCTTCCCTGGCGAGTCTCAGAGGGACTGAAGCAGCCAAACTGTAACAACTATTCTGGGGAAGCCCTCTCCTGCAGGACAGGAGCAGAGCTGATACACTAGGGAAGCCTTTCCCTGAAACAAGGCTGTAAGCTGCTATGCTTACTGTGACCTGTGGTATTCCTTGGCTCCCGAGTGCCAGAATATCTTTCTATCCAAGCTGTAACACCCAATATTCTGTGACTCAAAAGTGCCATAATCCATCCCTGTCCATCACATCCAATCCATCGAAATGGCTATAGTATGCCCACCCCCTTACATACACACACACACACACACACACACACACACACACACACACACACCACACACACACACGGGTAGTGCTGAGGATTTTCCTGCGACCCGTACATGCAAGGCAAGCACACTAACATTGAGTTACTACCCCAGCTCCTTGATTCTTTTCAGTGAAAAAGTAATTAACACCCTTCCTGTTTGAGACACTGGCATTATGGGATGTTTCAATATATTCCAGAGAAACTGAGTGTAGATGGACCAGGTGTGAACTGTCCGGCTGTAGAGAGGTTACACAAAACCTCTTCTACGTCCTCTAGAAGCCTGCCACATTTTCTTATAAGGTGATATTCGTGCCAAATAATAATACTACTTTAATAATCCCAGGTTAAGCCAGGTGTTGGTGGTGCATGCCTTTAATCTCAGCAGTCGGGAGGCAGAGGCAGGCAGATCTCTGTGAGTTCGAGGCCAGCCTGGTCTACAGAGCAAGTTCCAGGACAGCCTCCAAAACAATACAGAGAAACTCTGTCTCAAAAAATCAATAATAATAATCATCATCATCATCCCAGGTTAATGGGAAAAGAGCAAAGGTACAGTCAATGTGTACATCATACATTCATGCAAACTTAAGGCCATGTGGTGGAACACACACACCATCATGCAGGGAAAATCTACAGGCAGGACAAGCTCAAAAGTTGCAGTTGGCACCACACATTCTTGGTAATGGTGATTTTTAGTTAAACAGCATCATTGGTCATACTGAATTAATATTATTAATTTCTTAGTTTGAGCTTCAACCCTTTAATTTCTAAATGGTTTTGGTTTCACAATGGTAAAAGTATAGTTCAACTGACAAAATCTATGTAGTCTTAAGTAAATGACATCATAAAATTATTCTAAATTTAACTCCAGAAGGGAGAACTATGCAAAAATAGTTCTGTCTCTCAAAAATAGTTCCATAATACTTAGGTTTGCAAAATAATTTTCAATGGTTTAAAATTTAACAGTTTATCTGGAAAGGGTCTGTGTGTGTGTGTGTGTGTGTGTGTGTGTGTGTGTGTGTGTGTGTGTGTTTTCTTGCTCTAGAACTCAAGAAAGCTTAATGCATGGGCCTTGCAAGGAGCTATTCAGATAGCCTGGAGTCAAGGTCGTCAGTCAGCCTTGGTGTGCAACAGACGTGGGAATGTACATGACAGCTGGAACACAAATGTTCATAGCAGCTCTACTTGTAGCAGCCCCAAAGTAGAAACAACTTGAATGTCCATGCACCGCTAAATGAACAAACAGAAGGTGGTACATCTACCTAATGGATAATTACTCACCCATCAAAAGGAATCACAATGGTTAATGTTATAGGTCAACTTGGATGGACCATGATGTCCAGATACTCAGTGAAATGGTGCTCCAGATGTTTCCTGGAGGATGTTTGCAGATGAGACTAAAAATAGATAGGTGTTTTTGGTTTTGTTTCACTTTTCTTGGCCTACACAGCCTCCCACTATGTAGCCAATGAGGTCCTCAAATGCATAATCCTCCTGCCTCAGCCTCTGAAATGCTACAGGTATTCTTGGAGACAGGGTTTCTCTGTGTAATAGCTCTGGCTGTCCTAGAACTCACCTTGTAGACCAGGCTGGCTTTGAACTCACAGAGATCTGCCTGCCTCTGCTTCCCGAGTGCTGGGATTAAAAGTGTGGGCCACCACCACCCAGCAAGATGCTACAATTATAACCGAGGCTCCGAACCTATTTCAAACCAGCTAATGTGGGTAGGTGTCTTCCAAACAAATAAAATCCAACATACAAGCAAAATAAATAAGCAAATAAAATAAACCTCCCCTGAATAATAAGGAAATTGTTAAGCAAAAATCCAGAACGGAACTATGTCACACATGAGCGACAACAGAACCTGTCCATCTCCCGTCTTTGGGCCTTTTCTACAATATGCTCTTGTACTGGCTAGTTTTATGTCAACTTGACACAAGCTAGAGTGATCAGAGAGGATAAAGCCTTGCTGTAGGCAAGCCTATGGGAAATTTTCTTAATTAGTGATTGGTGGGGGAGGGTCCAGCTCACTGTGGGTGGGGCCATCCCTGGGCTGGTGGTCCTGGATTCTATAAGAAAGCAGGCTGAGCAAGCCACGAGGAGCAAGTCAGCAAGCAGCGCCCTCCATGGCCTTGCATCAACTCCTGCCTCCAGGTTCCTGCCTGACTTCCTTTAATGATGAACCCTGAAATGGAAGTGTAAACCAAATGAACCCTTGCCGCCCCAGCCTGCTTTAATGTCTCCTCACAGCAACAGTAACTCTAAAACAATGCTCTGACTCTCAGTAAGCAGAGCACCTATTTTCTCAACCCCCTCGTAAACAAACTCCTACCTAACAAAGACCTGTGTAACTGGCCTGCTGGAAGTGAAGATATACTTTTGTCTCTCGGACTTTCAGACTATTGAAACAGTGGAACCCAGGGATCTCACACAGGGAGAAGGAAAAGGCCAGACATTCGTCAGACCACTTACGGAGGAGACTTGACACACTGAGCCATCCCACCAGCCCCACTATTTTTTCTGTCTCTTTTATTTTGAGGTCTCACATAACCCAGGCTGGCCTTCGGTTCTCTTTAACCCAAGAGTAGCGCTGGACTCCTGATCTATCTGCTTCTACCATCCTTCCGAGTGCTGGCACCGCGGGCACGCACCGCCATGCCCGATTCGAGGCTGGCAGACAGTAACAGGGAGAGGAGCCGCACACTTGCCTTGAGTTCATTGGTGTCGGCCAGTTGGGCTTTGAGCTCAGTGTTGTGTTCCCGACAGGCGCTCAGCTCCTTCTGCAACCTCTCCACCCTCTTCTCCAGCTTCCTGATGGTGAGATGGGCCTCGTCCCTCTCCACAGCCAGGCCTGTGCGTGCCTGCGTCTCCTGCTGCAGCTGGGCAATTTTCTGCCGAAGGAGGCTCATGTGCACCTCTTTGCTCTCCAGTCTTTCTTTCTGAGTCTTTAGCTGGTTTGATACAAACGGATTTTTTTGACAAAATAATTGAACAGTCAGTAAATATAAATGAATTACTCAGATAATATCGATTTTTATCTGCACTTCAATGAGACTCATTTGCAAACCATCAGGAAAAAAAAAAGACCACTGGGTTCCTTTCCCTGATTGAATTTTTTATGCATATTTTTCCAAGAATTAATTCTGTAGTTACAAAGAGTATGGGACAAAGGAGCCCCAGAAAATGAGACAAAAGTCAGCTCTCCACAGCTGCTTCATCCAATATTCTGTGCCTCATAATAAAATGTAAAATTACTTTTAAAGACTAATAAAATAGGCTTATCAAGAGCAGAATAAGTAGAATATAATAAGACATAGACAAAATCCTCTCCAGTACTCAGTGGCCATGACTGCTGCTCTAGCGTTTTCTGAAATACAAGGTCCCGCATCGAACTGAAAACTTGCCCTAGATAATTTACGCCTCTTAGAATCCTGCTGAGTAGCTCCCAGGGGGAGGGTTGATACATTCTTGCAGAAGATGTACCCAGGAGACTTTTAAGGAAATTGTTTACAAACTTCAAATCTCAGGAAAAGACTTCATGAAGATTTCGCTTCTTTGAACTCTTTGTGTTACAGGGTGAGCTCCTCCAGCCAAGCAGGGAGCAAGTTCTTGGAACATCACTGATGTTGGCAATCGAATTGATGAAGGGAATTACAATAGGTTGTATGAAATGACTACGAGAGGAGTCTCCTGAGCTGTGACTGTCACTTCACTGGGAAGATATTAAATCCAGGCAGCTCGGTCACTGGTCATGGGGTATCTAGAAGAACTGTTGAATGCCTGTGGAATGCCCAATGCCCGGGCTGAAGACTGTAATGGGACCCCTCGTTATCCCTTAAGTGTTCCAAGGTGGAAGGACTTAGCTGAAAAACTACTTTGCATTTCTTGCCTATCAGTGACAGCTGTGTCCACCCCTGGGCCACCCCTTAACAAACCTGTCTGATATTTCTCTATCCAAATCTTGTTTAACATGCTTGAATGTTTTTGTTTATTCTTTGAAAATTTAACACATGTATCCATTGCATTTTGATCTTATTGAAACCCCAACCCACTCGCTTCACTCAACCTCTTTTCTACTCCCCAGAACCTACCACCCATCTCCTCCCGACCTCAAACCCTCTGTCACTACTACTTTATCATCATCATTATTACTCCTATTTCATTCCCACGGAATCCAGTGTTGACTATGTTCCAATGGTGTAGGACCATCCAAGTTTTCTAACACATTTTTTATTTATGGTGTGTATACTAAGAGAGCACATGCATGCCACAGCATGTGTGTGGGGTGTGGAGGTTGCAAGAAAGAATGTGGGAATCTATCCTCTCTTCCTATCTTGTGGGTGCCAGGGATCAAACTCAGATTGTTAGGCTTGGCAGCAGGCTCCTCTACCCACTGAGCCATCTGGTCTGCCCCCAACTCCCTTTCTTGAAATAAGTCTTGTCAAATTGCACTCTGATGCAAATGTCCACTGATAAATTCTATACACCCATAATTTAAATGATGTTATAATTCTTAAGAAGGAATAGCATTGGGCTATTAAGAGAAGTCAAGTTTCTGAGGAGAAATGAAAAAAGAATATTGGCTTAATTTGACATCCCTGATGATGATTGGGTTTTCTGTTTTCTCTCTCTCAAACACACACACACACACACACACACACACACACACACACACTGAACTGGGTAAGGGCTAAGTGAAAACAAAGTTCACTCTATGAGACAGGAGTTCAAATTTTCTCTTATTAAAATTACCTCTCCTGTGAAATATATGTCATTCCTGTCTTAATATGAAGAAACAAAAAGAGAGGAACATGATTGCCCAAGATTGCACAAGAACCCAGATAGGACCCTACGCAAAACATTTCTCCTAGTAAGTATTACAAGAACGCTTCTGTGTTTCCTTTTTTCTTTCTCTGGTGCTGATAATTATACAACTAATAATTTATCCCTGTCATTCGTTCATTCATTCACTCACTCTAAACCATTTCTAACTCTGCCTTCAATTGGATGAAAAGTGAGCTCTTCCCTCTGTACTTTCTCATTCAATAGAGCTGGTTCCCCCAGCACCGTACAGTGCTCCAGCTTCCCTCCTCCACCACAAACTAAGGGATTTAACGGTTGTGTCTGCAAGTCTCTCTTGCAACTAGGTTTGGCCATGGTATAAACATAAGTTCAGCTAGCATCTTCCAGAATCTTCTTTACAAGCCATCACTTGCACCTTCAGCTTCCTTCTTCTTCCCCTCCTCCACCCTTCAGCATGGAACACAGACAAATGATTCTAGTTACGATTTTGAACCATGGAGATAAAGACCACCAGCACAGGCAATTCCAAAGCTTACAGGTGCAGAGTGATGGAGCCATATATTAGATTTTCAGAACTTAGAATCGAGACTCGGCTTCTAAATATATTATATGTGTGTGTGTGTATATATATATATATATATTATGCTTCCTAAACACACTGCCAGTCACAGTGTAATAAAATCATTGTCACACGTGGGCTTTTCAAACGTTTCCTTTCTCAGTGCTACAAAGTGTGACAATGCCTACCTTTCTCTGTAAGTTGTGAGCGATGGTCTTGTTTTCAATGACAGCATTGCTTTCCAGGCGGACTAGCTGCTCTGTGCGAGCTAAAACTACATCCAGACGCATGTCAAAGCCAAGGTCAGCAGCAATCTGACCCAATTTCATTTTCTCTGAAAGCTGATCCAGAAACTGCAGATACTAAACCCAGAGACAAGAATGAAAATGGGACATGAGAGTTAGGGTGTGGTCCCACTGAGTCCTTGTCGTTCTCACAAGCTTACAGGTGCTTCTCTTTAATGTCATCCCAGAGCCTGGATTCTGCCCCCAAGATTTGGATGTGAATGCTTGAACCACATTGCCAATTCTCTGCCATCTCCCTGTCCAAACACTCTGTAGTGTCCTGGTCAGTAACCTTGATGGCAGCTTAATTTCAAACACACTTCTAAGCCTTCCATATGACAAATGGGCTAAGCCCTTAATTCCACCCTGATCTCTGTGTGTGTGTCTTGACAAAAAAACCACTGCAACCTTGCCCCTCCCAGGCTGTCCCAGCACATAACAGTCACTCCCAAAACAGCAGTTGGAGTGTTTTTAGTTAAAACGCTTTCAGGGGTCCGGAAAGATGTCTCAGTTGGTTAAGTGCTTGCAGTACAAGCATGGAAACCTGAGTTTGAACCGAAAAGCACACATTTTTAAAAAGCCAGATCCTGAGTGTGCCTGAAATTCCACCACGAAGGAGGCAGAGATGGGAGGATGCCTTGGGGCTCACTCCAGCCAGTGTAGCCAAATTAAAAAGTTTCAGGTTCAGTGAGAGACCCTCGCTCAAAAGACAAGGCAAAGTGCAACTGAGGAAGACACATGTTTTCAACCTTTGACCAATCCACATACTTGCGCATACATGCATGCATGCCCATGTACACACATGGGGAGGGGGCTTTAGGAGATATTTCTTTATGGTGTTTCATATAACATGATTAGGTGACTTAACATTCTAAAGTATAACTTGTATGGAAGATGTCACATTTTGCATTCTTTTTAAAAATTTAACTTATTTTCATTTTATGTGTGTTTTTGCCCTCATGTATGTATGTACGTATGTATGTACATGCACCACATGCAAACAGTGCCCGAGGTGGCTAAAAGGGGGGCATTGGTTCCACAGGAACTGGAATTACGGGCATTTATTTGTGAGTCGCTATGTGGGTGGGTGCTGACTGGGTCCCGTCCAAGGGCAGCAGGGTACTCTTAACTCTTGTATCTCTCTAGCCCCCACAGTTCATATTTTAACAAACTAAACTTGCACAAAGCTTAAAGGTCTTCCTTCATCTGGCTGCTATTGTTTGTCTGAGCATATTGGGACACAGAACACTAAGTGTGTGCTACAGGAGTAAGTCAGTCCATCAAGGAGCTTGCGCTATGGTGACTGCAGGATTCGGATCCTATCTCCCACATTGCCTTCTCACTGCAGCAGCTTCTCGGCGTCTGCCACTTTCAGTGTTGAAACGATTGTAATTTCCTGCCGTCTAAGTGCATCAGCTTAAGGCCGGAACTGTCTATAATTAAGTCATCAGGATGGAGTTATCTACAAGTGTATATTTTCTAATTCTGTCAAGTAGCACACAGATAAATACAATTTAATCGTCTTTATCACCTACAGTAACTACCAATATAGCCCCATTCACTATGCTTTGACACCACAGTTTTATATCTGAGTTGTCACGTTGTCAGTTCTTCTTGTTCTGGTGGTCTCCCTGTGGGATTTTATTTAATCTCTTCTGTGCTTGAACATGACCTAAGTGCTATTGCTTATATTTTAAGTGAAAGAAGCAGACTGACCCTCATAGATTGGCCAACCTACAAAACACAATCTACAAATTCAATGCAATCCCCATCAGAATTCCAACACAATTCCTCACAGAAATTGAAAGAACAATTTTCAATATGGAAATACAAAGAAACCAGGATAGCTAGAACAAAGGAACTACTGAAGTTATCATCATCCCTGATCTCAAGTAGTACTACAAGCCTGTAGGAATAAAAACCACATGGAATTGTCATAGAAACACGCATGTTTATCAATGGAATGGAATTGAAAACCCAAGCCTGGTGTTGGTGGCTCACACCTTTAATCCCAGAACTCAGGAGGCAGAGTCAGGCGGATCTCTGTGAGTTCAAGGCCAGCCTAATCTATAGAATGAGTTCCAGGACAACTTCCAAAGCAATATAGAGAAACCCTGTCTCAAAAACAAAAACAAAAAAAAAAAGAAACAAAGAAATTGAAAACCCAGAAATAAGTCCACATACCTATGGATCCTGATTTTTAACAAAGACGCCAGAAATACACACTAGATAAAATACAGTGTCTATGCCAAATGATGCTGGTCAGAGTGAATGCTGCATGTACAAGAAAGCATACTCATACCCGCATAAAACCCAACTCCAAATAGACCAAGGGCCTCAACATAATCCCAGACACACGGAGTCTGACAGAAAAGAAAATGAGGAGCTGTATTGAACTCATTGGCATAGGAAAAGGCTTTCTGAACAAAACATGGACAGCAAGGCACTTAATTAATCAATCAATCAATTAGTCAATTAATGAGACCTAATGAAACCACAAAGTTTCTGTATGGCAACCCACAAGGACATTTGAACAAATTGTCAGGCTACAGAATGGGGAAAGGTCTTTACCAACTACACATCCGATAGAGGCTTAATATCTAAATTTTAAAAAAACTATTACTGATTCTATGTGTGGCCTGATTACTCTGCATGCCAGACAAGAAGGGATTCAACTGGGACCACAGGGAGGCCCCACAGAGGAAGTGCCTCTTTCAAGGACTTTGACTGCTCTGTATAATTACAGTTGAGCAGCTGAAGGAATGGCTCAACAGCTGAGAGTATAAACTGTCCATTTCCCAACCCCCATTCAAGTAACTCATCACTGCTTCTAACTCCAGATCCGGGGTATCCCACGCCCTCTTCTGGCCTCCCAGGGCACCTACACTCATGTGCACACACCCACACTCAGACACACACACATACACACAATTAAAAATAAAATAGATCTTTCTTTTTTAAGATTGCAGTTGATGGAAAGTTGTTTTATTTATTTATTTATTTATTTATTTACTTTTGGTTTTTTGAGACAGGGCTTCTCTGTGGCTTTGTGGGCTGTCCCAGAACTAGCTCTTGTAGACCAGGGTGGTCTCGAACTCACAGAGATCCACCTGCTGCTCTGCCTCCCGAGTGCTGGGACTAAAGGCGTTTTAATTCTTTTTACTAATTTTTTTTTGGTTCTGAGATAGGCTATCACCATGTACCCCAGGCTGGCGTTGAACTTACTATGTAGCTCAAGCTATCTCAATCTCATGGTCCTGTGCCTCAGTACCATACTAATATAGGCATGCCCAATTGGCTTAAGTCTTCAGCTTTATAGGGAAAAGGCGGGGGTTGCTGTGTGTCTTACTCATTTGAATCACAGGCCATCATGCGCTAGACCATGCATTCTACTCTGTACTGTACTGCTCTAGACTCCATCTAGCACTTAACCTCAGTACAACTTTACTTTCAGTTTTACGTGACCATGCCCTTGTTACTTTCATCTGCGAGAAACCCTCTGTGGATATAATCTGCTTTCATAATTGAGAACCACTTATGCATAATTTTAAGGAAGACTAATTATGGAAAGAAGGGAAGAGAAATCAACCTACATGCAGATGGGTCCTAGAGGTTCTAGCATTCAGGAGGGAAGTGAGAGAATCGACACAAGTTAGGGCCAGCCTGCATCACAGAGAGAGTTCCAGGCCAGCTTGGGATATGGAGTTCAAGGCCAACCTGAGCTACAGAGTGAGACCTGATCTGAAGGAGGAGGAAGAGGAGAAAGAAGGAAGAAGGAAGAAAGAACAAAGGAGAGGAAGGAGAAGGAAGAGGAGGAAAGAAAAAGATGAAGAAGGGGAGGAGGAGGAAGGGGGAGGAGGGAGGATCATGTCCCCATATATGGGAAAAAGAAAGAAGCTGTCACTCCCGCCTCCAAGTTCCTGCCACAGCCCACATCCATCTCCAACAGAACACTAGGTGTGGTCCTACTGCCCTAGTCCATCTGTCTCATGTGGACTGGCTTTTGTAGACATCTTTTAGGCATCTCTGCAAACCTGACCCCTAACGTAGCCATGGCATATCCTCAATTTCTTTCAAGTTCAGAAGAATGAAAAGGAATGAGTTTCCAGAGTTCACTTTTCTGTCCCCATATTCTCGATCCCCCACACCCCTTTTACTCTTCCTGCCATCTCTCCATGGACCCTTGCAGATCACAAACTCCTACGTCTTCACTGGTATCAAGGAAACCTTTCTTTGACCCTGCCTCTCATGTTCGACTCTGCATCCCTTCCCTTCTAGTCACACAGCACAGAGCAAGTGAGCTCACTCACTCCCCCGTTCCGCAAAACTATCTCCAAGTCATGCTGCCCTGCCCACGCTGGGGTCCTTAGGGTGGACTATTCTCTCAGGCTACCCTTGTCTCCCTCTAACCTACAGGTACTCTTTCTTCTGAGCAGTTGCATTGTGACATCTCAGCTCCCCCAGGCATGGGTTGCTTAACAGTGGATGTGGGTTCTGAAGCCTGCAGCATCACATGGTGCTATCACTGTGTGGACATCATGGACGGTCACAACTCGGATTTTTTTTAACATTTGTGGCGCTGAGGGCTTCGTTCATGGTAAGAACATGATCCGCCACTATGCAACTGTGGTCATATAGGAACACTCCCATACGTGCAGCCTACCACTGACAAAAGTATCATTAGGCATCAAATGCCTGCACTCTGATGTTCACAGTCATTAACTGCACTTTATGTTCTATAGAAGAAAAGAAACTTCAGATCTAAAAGAGCTTCACTTCCCATTCTTCTCTTTGTCGAGGCCCCATTAAGAATGCCACATTACACCATATGTAATTAGCCATTCTGCATTTTCTGACTATAGCATTTAAAGGCTTCACAGCATCTGCCCCTTCCCCCGCTGTAATCCTATTTACCCTTTAAAGATTAATTAAACTATCTCCCCTCATTGTCCAGAAATGTCTACAATACTTCATTAATACACTATGACAATGATAATATATATAGTTAAGAGTACAATAGGGTATCTTAATGCCTGTCTCCTCTATTAAATGCTGAGTCTTTAATAATAGAAACTATACATCACCCATACTTCAGCTGCCCCAAACCTTCCAACCTCATAGACAGTAGACATACAATAGATTCATACTGGCTCTAACCAGATTGACAATCAAGGGAACCCTAAACATAGGAAGAGACTTAACATCCCTTGGAAATTGGCTTGTAACTCAATACATGATCAGCCTGAATACTGCAAAGTTCAGGACACTCTCAGGTACACTTTTAGCCCATGACAGATGCTGGCACCACGGATGCACCCATCCCATTATTACTTTTTGTTTCTCAAGATTCAAGTTGTCTCTCAAGACATCTCCAGAAAGCAGTTCTCCCTCCAGGCGACTCAGCTGACCCTGAAGAGCCTCCAACTTGCTTTCTGCCTCATGGGCCCTCTGTAGGGCTTTCTGATGAAGCTCAGCTTCATTTCCCAACTGTTCAACAAACTCTGATATCTGGGCTTCAAGCTGGGATACCATCTGTAAAGAAAGATGGAGAAGAAGGCAGAGCCTTGTTTAGATGACACAAAGTGTTCAGATCCATCACTCCACCCCTGAAGCATAACCACTATGACACCCACTTGCAGATTCCTTGTAAAAATTAAATTTAAAATAGGTTGTTTGTAGCTGTTTTCCTCTGTTTGAAGTAAACCTACATTTCTTATCAAATTGATAATGGTGGATGCTTTTTTCATTTTTCTATAATTCCTTCAACAAGTTTACTCAATCAATATTTATAGATAATATCTACTTACCTAAAAATTATTAATTTAGAGATTTCAAAGCTAGGCTGGAAGAAAAAAGCTTCAGACAAAAAAAGTAATTTCAAAAGCCACAAAATATCATTTCCCCAGAGATTCTTTCACCACATATGGTTGATTAAAGATTATGTGGTGAGTTTATCATGAGAAGCAGCCTGGAGGTGTTACAGGGAATTCCAGTGCAGACAGACGTTTTTCTTTTATTTAGCCTTCTACTGAATATTGGTTGTGTATGTTCCAGACTTCAGTGGTACAATTATATACTAATAGTATCATTTTAATATCTGAAGGTCAAATTCTTTTTAATCTGGTGACACCAAAAAATTCTCCATATTTAAATCTTTCCCAGGAACCCTCTCTTTTGTCTTGATCATCCTGTCCCCAGAAACAAAGAGCAAAAGTTTAAACACAGACTTAAAGCACACTCTCAAACCACCCACACTGACTTTAATAAACTCAGTTTTTGGAAAATGCTGAGCCCGATAAAACTGGACTAAAACATTGGTGAATGAATACGTTTCCTTTTGCTTTGGGAAGCAGAGAGGAAGAGAATGGATGTTTACATGTCACTGAGGTGCCGCTCTACAGTGCTAATTGCTTCCATTGCTTTAGATTTTTTAGAGTTTAAATCAAGAATAGAACTCGGGCTTCGCTTTTTTCTTAATCGTTTATACAAACACGGCTTAATACAAGACACTGAAGCTGCCATCAAGTTTTTGGAAACACTATTTTATGTAAGATTTGATCTGACTTACCCTCAGACCTTCAGGGAAGGACCAATAAGCGTAAGTTAGTAAAGAAAGTCCACATTCAATTGAGTTTTCATCCATGCCTATGTAATATAATACAATAAATATATACTGTAGAATATTCATTAAGGATCTGTAGGAGGAGACTTTAGGACTGCGCTGTTAGCCATGCTAGAGGTGCATATGGATGTGGTAATGAAAGGGCAGTGAACTATGCCGCTAGCCATGCTCACTTTGGGGCGTGGCTAGAGGCCCATACTGAGGTGGGAATAAAAGACAGTACAGGAGAATCGCGCTCTCATTTCGGCTTCCGGTTCTGTGGCTGAAAGCTACTTGACCCATCTTGGTTGGTATTCTCTTGTAAGTAATCTCTACAATAAACAGTTACCTATACCCTCAACAAGTGTGCTGTTTATCGTTACAGCTACAAGGATCAAAAATATTATAAATTGCCAAAAGAAATCTTCCATGATCCTCCAAACAAAGACCACAATTATTTAATTCTTTGTTTATTTATTTTAAATAATGCATTAGTTTCATATCATTAAGATACAGTCAAGGCTCACTACTATTTGTAATACCAGTCCCAAGGTACCCAATGATCTCTTCTGATCTCCAAGGTACATATACATGCATGCAGCAAAATACTCATACATTAAAATAATAAAACAAATAGATTTTTAAGAGATTTTGAAAAGAATCCATCACAGAGAAGGGCACATAAGTCAGTAATACAATACATGTTTAGCCTGTATGGGGTTGAGTTCAACCTCTAAAACAATTCACCATTAGAAACAAAGAAAAAGTTCTCAGCACTGGAAGACAGAAGCAAGACTCTCACGAGTTCCAGGGCAGCCTGATCGATATGAGACCATGCCTCCATGTCCCCACACCTAGCCCCAGCATTATTCACACACAAGAAAAGAAAGTGTGGTTTCTGACAATGGAAGCTGTCTAGACACACCAGCCAACACGCAGGTAGTGGACCCAGGTCAATGGAGGATAGACTCTACCCAGATTCTTGTTCCGAGTGGACCCAAGAGAGTGACACCTGGAAGAGGTTAGACTGGACAAACTAATCTCATTCTATGTTTTTATGGCTCTCAGAGTACCACACCTGTAATACAATTCATTGTAGATTTCTTCGGTGGGTATTTCACATCAGTCTCTGACGGGAAGTCATTCGGATCCATGTTTGAGGAATTAACTTCCCCCCGGGGAGAATTAATATTATTACAGTGCAGAAGAGTCTCCTTGTCAGTTCTAAGAGCTATTGCTAGGAGACATGCTGAGAGCTCAGCACGGTACAGCCATCTGTGTCATCGGCTTCCCCCTCCAATTATGAGTTCAACCAACCAGATGTTCTTTCTTTAAAGAGTTTTTTTAAGATCTTCAGAAACTTCCCTCTGCTGGCCAGATGTGGTGGCCTATTCACTTAAGAGGTTGAGGCAGGTCACCCTTGGCTACAAAGCAAGTCCAAGGCCAGCCTGAGCTACCTGAGATCCTGTCTCAAAATAATAAAAGAAAAAAAGGCATTGTCCTATGTTGTAGTACCTAAACGATTTTTGTTTTGTTTTTATCTATAGAGTCTTTTGTCAACTAGAAACCTTTCTACAGAAGACAAATGAGGGGCAAAAGCATTTGAGTCGAAGCCAAGAGAATCCTGCCTGCCCACCACCTGTGTATACCCAAAGATGCTGCAAAGAAGCCCAAGGCAGGTCATGGTACAAACTACTAAGTGGATGGCTGAACTGTACATAATGTACCATACTGTTATGCTAGAGTCTGGAGTCTGGAGTGGAGTAAGGAGCTGTGGTCCTTCCCAGTCTGCCCCATCACAAAGCTGAGCTTCAGAACTCTGCTAGCTCTCAGAGCACATAGTTGTTGTTGTTTTCAGAATTAAATTGACTAAATTCAAATAAACTAACAGCACCATATGACTCCATTCTTGAGAACACCATATACCAGTACCTGAGTGTTCCCACCCAAACTGCAAACCTGTTGTTTTTCACACCAAGAAGTCTAAAGAACCAACAGACTTCTCCTTCTTCCATTCTTCCTTAGTGTTGTGTGTATGTACACTTGATGTTCTAAAAGTTTCCCTGCTGAGGATGTGGGGGCTTGGGGGTGGGGACAGCACAGAAACAAAACATATGCCTCAACTTGATTAATTGAAGAGGTTCTTCAGCAGGCTACCCTCCAAAAAGAAACAAGAGAGATTTGGGAAGTAAAGTCATAATGCCCTCAGAGCTAACTCCCCTCCCCAATGAGGCCTTTTGTTCTGAGACTCTACCAAACAACAACACGGGAGCTCCATGCCCAGATAAAGCCTCCTGGGTCACCTAAGGTCTTTTGGACATAAACAACTTTTTTCTCTTATTCAGATCATATCTTTCATTTGGAAGTATATAAAAATGAGTTATCAGATAGCTTAACGCCAAGGCTTAACATCAATCATGTTCTCCTTCCTCCGCATCAGTATACCACTATGTGGGTCCAACAATGTCCGCTAGTCAACCCTGCTCCCTCACTCTTTGTTCAGGCCAACTTTTGTTATAGTGCCAGCAGAAAAAATGGGTTAGTGCAACTAAGACCCTCAGAATGGGACTTATTTAGAAACAAGCTGTTTGCAGACATGGTGTTACCTTTGGGTCACTGGGGTGATATCTAGTTAGTTTGTTCTGTGTCTTTATAAAAGGAAAAACTTTGATGCAAAAACAAACATACACAAAAGGAAGGTACTGTGAAACCTTGGGGACAAACCGTGCACCAGCCAGGGAAGGTGTGTGTGTGGGGGAGAACCTGGGACCATCAGAAGCCAGGTGAGCTGTACGAACACAGGAACCAGCCTTGACCTTGACTGTAGAACTCTAACCACCAGAACTGTGAGCTAGGAATTTCTGTTGACGCCACCCAGCTAGCGGAGCATTGTTAATGCAGTGCTAGGAACCAAATAGAACTAGGTAGGATGCAGGTGCCACACCTCTGGCTGTTCAAACACCACTGCACCCGGGAGCTGGCATGCAGAGTCATTTTTGTCGGTGTGGCATGGCAGTGGAAGACTGCTGTGCTTCCTGGGAAATGTCTGCTCTAGTGAGTGGCAGGAAAATGATGGTGGGCTGTGAGATTTGGAGGGGGGGGTGTGGAACTTCCCTCAAGTCTTCAGGGGCATCAAGCGGTGTCCACAGCATCTGTCAAGCCTCCAGACTGTGAGACCCTGCAGTTGAGGCAGTAAGCAAAGCCAGCACCATGGTGAATGGTCTTGTGTGACTCTATATTTAGTTCAGGAAATGAGGAGGAATTGATCAGGTTGCATCATCTCTACTAATCGATTCTCATCCAGGTTAGTCAGGAAATGCCTCAAACAGTGGGGGAAAAATGCTTCAAAATGTAAAACTGAAAAATGTTTCATGTTTTAGCCATTGTGTAAGAAGCCTTCATTCTTAAACATCTGTTACATGACCTGAAATTCTAGGATAAATAACATCCAAAAAGTCCTGGATTCCTGGGAATGTAGAAGTAGGACCTTCCTTTGAAGCAGAGGGTTTCATCCAGGGATGACTTTGTCCTTGTGGAGGAGGAATTTGATAATGCCTAGACACAATGGTTGTCTCAAATTGGAGCTGAGGGTCCCATGGAATCTAACAGGAAGAGGTTAGGGATGCTGCTAACACCCTATAATACACAGGACTCTACCACTACCTATCACATACACATACATACATATACACATAAATACAAATACACACAAAAAGCTCACACATATATACACATATACATATACATACATACACACATGCATATGCACATACAAATACACAGCACACACACATTTATACACACATGCATACACACACACACACACACACACACACACATATCCCCTACACAGCTGAGTGTGGGTGCACACCTATAATCCCAGCAGCCAGGAGGCTGAGGCAAGAAGATCATGATTTCAAGAACAGTCTGG